TCTCTAAATGGCTCACATGCATTTGACAAATATAAGATAAATATGGATTTCTTGAAAATGCATGCCAACACTTTTTTCCCTGATGCCTGGAAGTTTGCTCAGATTACTCCCATTTTTAAATCTGGTGATCCAACAGAAGTTTCAAACTATCGGCCAATTTCTGTTCTTCCTATTTTTTCTAAGTTACTTGAAAAAACATTATTTTATCAACTACTTCAGCATCTAGAAGCTAATAATATGCTAAGCAATAGCCAACATGGTTTCCGCACGTCAAGGTCAACCATGTCTGCATTAATTTTATTCACTGAACAAATACGTGCTGCTTTGAACAAAGGTCAAGTAACTGTTGCTGTATATATTGATTTTCGTAAAGCGTTTGACACAGTTGATCATTATACTCTCTTACAAAAGTTGATTTATTTTGAACTTTCATCATCTGCAAAACAAATGTTTTCCTCTTATTTGACTGATAGGTGTCAGTTTGTGAAACATGGAAGCTCTGTGTCCGGGTCTGTGCCCTGTTCCGTGGGAGTTCCGCAGGGTAGCATACTGGGCCCATTGCTTTTCCTATTACACATAAATGACCTTCCAAAAATATTGAAGTATTCAAATATTTTAATGTATGCTGATGATACTGTTCTTTTTTGTCTGATTTCAATATTGAATCTATTAATAGTCGGTTACAAATAGATCTTCAGACATTTCATGGTTGGCTTTAAGATAATCTTTTGTCAATTAATGTTTAAAAAACTGTGTGCATATATTTTTCCTCACCCAGGAGACATTTCAACTCATCAAATCAACTCACTTTTTTAAACAAACCCCTTGATATTGTCACTACCTACAAATATCTTGGAATTACTTTGGATTCTCATTTGACTTATCGTGATCATGTACAAGTCTTAACCACTAAGTTGAAACAGAAATTAGACGTTTATTCAAAAATTAGATCCAATCTGACATCTTCTGTTTCAAATATCTATCTTCATGCCATTATACTCTCAACCATGTCGTACTGTTTACCTGTTTGGTCTCTTACAACAAATGAAATCTTAGAACTCATAGTTAGGCTCTACAACAGGGCCTACAAAATTCATAAAAAACTTCCTGGTTGGACTCATCACTGTACAGTTCTTTCATTGTCTGATGCCTTGACTTTTCAGAATTATGTTTTGTATAGAGGTATTAATTTATATTTTCAGATCTTCCAAGGTGCCAATTATGGAACTCTCTGTGCATTGCTGCCCAAATCAAATTCTGGAAGTGGTCATTCCACTAGATCTGTTACAAAAGGACAACTGATATTACCAACTTTTAAAAACTGTTACGGCCAGAGGTCTTTCTTCTATGTTTATACTAAAACATGGAATGACATTCCTCAAAACATAAAGTCCATTTCAAAACTACAGCCCTTTAAGAAGAATCTTGTCTGCCATCTGCTGGACACTTTTTGTTGTGCTCATATTTAGACGTCCTATTTTGCAAATGCTGCCTTCCTGAAATTTGGTATGCTTGTTTGTCTTTGTGTCTATGGTGTATAATGATGTGATTGTGATGCTGTAATTCTGAGTGTTTTGTGTGCTGCAGAACAGGAACCTGCTGTAAAACAGCAATTATGCTGAGTCAGGCTTGATTTTTAGTAATCTTTTCCTGTTGAATCAATAAATCAAATCAAATCAAACAAATTTAAAGCCCAAACTAAAATGTCTGTTTTCTTTTCCTGTGTTCGCAGTTGGTGCAGGTGATCATTAACACCACTCACCTGGAGCAGTGCTGTCACTTCCTAGAAGAGTTTATCTCCAACATCACCAATGTTCCTCCTGACACAGCAAATGCTACCAAACTGTACGGAACCTCCACTTTTAAGGTGAGCGCACTTGTCTTTTTCATTTCCAAAACAAATATTTTGTTGTTGTTGTATTTCATGAATGTCAGAACATAAAAGAGCTTTTTTATTTAGTAATATGTTCTGAATTATCTGAATTTTCCTGTCTTCTCACAGGATGCTCGTCATGCTGCAGAGGCAGAGATCTACACCAGCCTGAACACCAAAATCGACCAGTTCCTGCAGCTGGCTGATTACGACTGGATGTCAGCGGCACAGGACAGCAAGAACCTGATGACCAGCGACTTCCTGCTGGACCTGATCGCCTTTCTGAGGAGCACCTTCAGCGTCTTCACCAACCTGCCTGTTAGTATGAACACTGACACGAGAAGCAACATTATAAACGACGTAAAATCCAACAAATGGAGGCTCAGCTTTTTAACTTGAGGCTCTGCTGCAGCAGGTTCTGTTTAAGATTCTTATAGGAAATTCTGAAATAATTAATAGGATTAAATTATTTTCCCGTCTGCGCTGTGAAACCAGCTCTACGAGCTGTGACCGATCAGAAGGTTCATACAGTCGGGGCTTTAGTGTCGATAGCCTGATCCTGTGTTTAATCCGGTTCTGCTGACCCGGCCGGTTCACCCTTTAATGAGCTTAGCGTTAACGACCTAACCCGTAACAAGCCCACACTAACGAGCTAAAGCTGATTGTCCTGCCCTGTGAGGCGTCATGCTGACATGATGAGGCGCTTTTCGCTACAGGATTTCCTCAAGGGAAACCGAGCCCCACTAAGAAATTTCATTTTGTCCCGTTTTTCTAACAGGTGAGGGAGGTGGAATAAACTTTTTGTTCTGTGAGACATAAAAACATCTATTTACTTAAAAAATTTCTGTTTATTACATGTTTCACTTCAGCACGTTATCATTTTGTTACTGACACAATGCAATGTGGGGATGATGATGATGATGATGATGATGGTTACAGTTGAGAGTAAAGCTGAAAGAGTCGATGCTAAAATACCAGTATACATACATATAACTGATATAAATGTGGTGTTGGATCCTGAGCTAATATTAGCTCAGGATCCAACACCATTTCACCACATATCTATGAATTAGCTCAGAAGCTAAGAAGCTAAAGCTGAAGTTCTTCCATGAAGCAGCTCTGTTGTCCTTCATCATTTTCAGCATCATTTCTACGTTTTCTCCTCTCGGTCAGTAAATAAAATTAACCTGCATTAGGGCTGGATATCGATTCAGATTTCTCAAATTGATTCGATTCACAGGGGCCCGATTCGATTCACAAAGATTCACAATTCAGTTAGATTTATTTTTAAATGAGTTAAGGATATCAAACAGTAACACATTTATTTTGATATAGAAAACATTCTCAAAGGAAATAATTCTGCATTTGGAAACTAATTCTAACTTGGTGCATTGGTAAAATTGTAAACATTAAGGGCAAACTTGTAAATTGGATTTTAATCTTGAAACAAAACTGTCTCAAGTTTCAAAGGGTTTAAACTAAAAAGGAATTGCAAGAGAAAGTGTTGTTGGATACTTTAGTTTTTTAAGAAAATAAGAATAATTTTCTTGAGGTGGGGTAATATAAGTGTTTACTTCTGCCCACTCTTTATAGTGTATGAAAACTGTATATTTGTAATGTTTCTGTTAGCTTCTGTTCAATAAAACTTATTAAGAATAAAGAAAAAATAAGTACTTCAGCTAAAACTTTCCATCACTGTGAATTACATTAAGATGTTTCTAAAATTTACAAATAACATTGGTAACAAAACTAAACGATTTTGTTAGATTGTCATCTTTAACACATTTATACAGGAGGAGAACAGTTTCAGATGTTTACATAACGTAGTTTTGGTTCGAGCCGCTCGAAGCTTCGTTTCCCGCTGCCGCGTCCGAGCGCAAATCTTTGCAAACCGAAGTTGTCCTGGTCTCTGTTATGTTGAAGTTCAGCTGAGAATATGCTGTAATGTTGGTGATTCCTTTGTTTCTTTTGTTTCCTCCAGTCAACTTGTTGTCGGGAGCTAACGTTAGCACTGACCGTCAACTGGGTGTAAACTCCACGGCAAGCCAGGAGAGACACACAACATGGAAACGCGCAGCCTCATCACACACAACACCCATGGGGAAAAATCGATCTCATGACTTATTAATAAATTTTCCCAACTTTGAACAATCGATCACTCCAGACCGATTAAATCTTTTTTTAACCCAGCCCTAACCTGCATCATTTACCCAGAATGCTTTGTGACATAAATAACAAGGCGAGATCCGTATGATTTTATATATATATTAATTTATAAAAACTGAACACTACTTTAGTCTCTTTTTTTATAGCTGATGTTAATGTTTAATAAATAATGTCTTGTTACATCTAGTCAAGATCCCTTTATTTTAACAATTAGCTCATTTTCTCCTGCAATTCCTGGCAGCTTGATGAAACCTGCAGTTCAGCTTTTTTTCTGCTTTATTTAGTCGAATAAAATCTGATTCATGTATCCTGTTGAAACCAAACACCCACACACAGAGAGTTTAAGGAGATTACTCCCCCAGATTTGGACGAGGCGGGTCACAAGGCCACGAGGCCACACACACACACGTTCTGTGGATGAACCGAGCACTTCTTAAGCAGCTTTTCCTCCAAAACCCCACGAGCCCCGGACACGACCCCATCACACACGCTTCGACGCCGTTTTCAACACGGCGTGAGGCCTTTTTAAGTAGATCAGACGCGATGGCCCTAAAATGCCGGGTGGTGTGACCCATTTCAGTATAGATGAAGTGTGTATTACTGAAGAGAGGATGGCAGAAACAGGCTGTTGGAGAATTTTGAGAATGTTTTTAGAAACTTCTGACCTGAGAACACTTGGCTGCTGCTTCTCTTGTGTGTTGATGATCTCCCCAAGGCTTTATTTTGTTCATAGTATCAGAAAGAGTTGATGTAGCTTCATCTCAAGTGTGCAACACTTTAAAGCTGGAAAAAGCTGATTGAGGAGGTTTATTGTTTTTAATCTTTTCATTTCTCCCTTTAATATCACACAAGTTCAGGTGGTTTGGCCTGAGGTTAATGTCTCGGTTTGTGTTTCTTACCGTAGGGAATGCCCGTAGAGCACGCTACCTTACCGGTGAGTATCAGAAGTGCAGTGGTGTTTACTGACCCGTTTAACCCTTTAGTTCTCAACCTAAACACTCACAAGTTCATCAAGAAGCATGTTAGATGAAATGAGTGAAGCATGTTTGCTTAAAGGTTTTCACATAACCTACCGGTAATTAGAGTTGTAAGAAAATATTGATACAACAAAATATTGACATTTCATTTCCCGATATCGAATCAATATTTAAAGCACTGTATTGATTTTTAAGTGAGGCTTAAACAGTCATGCCAGCAGTTCATTGTTGTTGTAATTTATCCTCCAACCACTAGTTGGCAGCAGTCAGCTCACCATTTGGTTCTGCACTCCCTAAACAGCCAGAGAGTTTAATGCTAGCTGAAACATTAGTGTTGTGAGTAATCTTATAAAAAATACTCTTTTTTTATTTTTCTTTGGAGGAAAAAAATGGCAATATATCGCAATATTGCCTTGGTTACGCAAGTTAACATCTTCGCAATGGTCACTTCGTAGGTCCTACAATGTAGGAGGCAAATTAAATCGTGTTAGTTTAGTTTCTTACCCAAAGACACTTCAACACTTGACTATATATTGATGGAATCAGGCTTTTGGTAGGATTTTCAAAGAGAGCTTCAACACTTTAAGTGCACATCCCCCTAATGAAGTTAAAAAGTTTATGGACGAGGAGCGAAATGTGGTAAGCTATACAATCTCTTCCCACATCTTCTATCCAAACACAGCACAATTTATTCTTTGCTTCTTTTTCTGGCTTCATAAAATTGTGGTCCATGCTCGGTGCACGCTCGCTCCTGGATCAAAATTTTACCAGGATTTCAGGCCTGCCCCCACCCTAATTTTGATTGGTTAGGAGGCCTTTCTAGTGTGCTTGAGAGCAAAAGCTGCATCTCATCCAGAGAAATGGAGTTTAGAGTTAGCCTGTAGTAGTATTTAGTCTGTTAAATCTCAATTGATTTGATTTGATTTGATTTATTTATTTAACAGGAAAAGATGATTAAAAATCAAGCCTGACTCAGCATAATTGCTKTTTTACAGCAGGTTCCTGTTCTGCAGCACATAAAACACTCAGAATTACAGCACCACAATCACATCATTATTATTACACCATAGACACAAAGACAAACAAGCATAACAAATTTCAAAAAGGCAGCATTTACAAAATCGGACGTCTAAATATGAGCACAACAAAAAGTGTCCAGCAGATGGCAGACAAGATTCTTCTTAAAGGGCTGTAGTTTTGAAATGGACTTTATGTTCTATTTCGTGTAAGCTCCGCCCTCTAAGGCTATCGCAGATGGGTACCCC